CTGACAAGTACGCACGCACGCCGTAAAATTACGGATTGCCGCGAGATTACAAGCGCGCGGGGAGACCGAATCGGCGACGATAAACGGAGGAAGAAACGAGAGAACGAGAAAGGCGAAGAGGATAAGGCAGGGAGGAAAGAGAGAGAGACAGAGAGAGTTTCTAAACTACTAGCATCTACTAGTAAGTGGTAAACCTGGCGCAAGATGCGGGGACTGACTGCGGTGGAAGGGGATGAGCATGCTAGGCGAGTTATGCCGGCATTGTTCTAATTTAATCATACATGCCAGGACCAACCAAGATACTGGCTCAAGGAGCAAGCCGCTAGTAACGATCCACTCGCGCAATTCACCGGCACTTAGATCGCTCCCCTTCTCTCTCGCGCTTGTATAAATTGCCTATATTCTCGATTTTCTCCAATGTTACATCATTCTTCATTCAAAGTATAAACCTGCCCTCTCACATAATTGCGAAAATTGTGGTCCGATCAATCTAGCTTTATTGATGTAACTCAATATTTACATCTAATCTGTAAACAGTTAATATTCTCGGTCATATTGCTGTATGTTCTATGTTAGTTATTATTGATATATACTGCTCTATTTTGAATTTGATATAATCAACCGCCAATAAATTTTCTATTGTTGCCTTTATCATGTCAAGCCTCAAATGTCACATCTAAACCGGCTTTCGAAGACTGGAATGATGGAATCACCAAATTTCCGCTCACTATGCGGACCAGCGGCCCGGAAACGGGCCGTAATTTTACCCCGGCCGTACTTGAACGGGTTAAGTTGTTGCCGAGGCGCTACGATGTCTCTCGAAGCGGAAGGAAGGAGGAGGAATGACGCTCCTCGCACTTCTTGGGACAATTGCGTCTCCGTCGCGTCGGCTAAACTGTCGAAGCGACGCTAATAGCGAACGTAAAAGGAGCAACATCGCGATCACGGATTTGCCATGCAAAACGTCTTTTGCATTTTCAGCACGTATTCCGCATTAATCCTGAAGTAATTGAGTCACGTTATTCAATGGAAATGCGGAAAATCGAGAAGAAGCCACAGATATTTTTACACGTCATTTATCGTTATGTTAATGTATCGACTTTGAATTCGCGCTAGGGATGTAAAAGGAGAATAAAAGAGATCCAAGTGATGTATAATTATATGATGCGGAATCTATCTAATGTCCATTCCATCGAAACGAATGGAAAGTACGATGATCGATGTGTTGTCTCGAAATAGATCTCTAACTCCGTGTAAAAAGAATATTTTATATTTTTAGACTGTGCATTCTCGTTTCTATCGTGGAAATCGCCCGTGAATTTTTTTTGTGATCGAAATTTGTAGCTCGGCAAATACTTAACACGAGGCGAAAGCTTCTTCTCTCTCGTTTCGAACGAAATTCAGGCTCTCGTTGGGATCGAAGATTGTTTGCAGAAATTGATGAGATATCTGCCGCGATCGAGTACTTTGGTATCGTGAAAGATGAACATGGTATAGGTCGCTGGCGACGCGCGGAGGATCGATAGCTATCTCGCGATCTATCAACGGCATGCTTCGAACGATGACGAGCGAAATACACCAGCTGGTTTGAGAGGAGTATATAATCGCGCTCATCGACGCGCGAATTAAACCAATTTTGCCGGAGCTGCTTTCCATGAAAAAGCCTACTTTTAAGTTAAACTCGTTCACGGAGGCTGCACATCGACGCCGTCGAACCATAATGAATTACGCGATAAACCTATAGGGTAAAAAAATAATTGAATCCGAGCGAGGTGTTAGTGGGCGTCAATGATTACGTGTTCGTACCTCTTTAGCGCTTTAAACTCACCAGGATTATTACTTAATGCACTAAACTCCGACAGTGTTAAAAATTAAGCTTTAATCCTTAACTTTAAATCCAATCCAATGGCGATATATTACTATGCTTTAAACACAACGATATTGTGCTGTTAATATTCAAAGAAACACAGACGATGGAACATTTAATAGCGCATACGGAATTTATTTACGCAAGAGTTTTCAGATATAAACGACGTGTATGATATATCAAAGCTGTTAAATAACTAATATACGCATTTCGCTCGCAAATCGATCGTACTTTTCCCCGCGGCGATCGCGTTCCAACGTCGATCATCCTGTACTCTCATCCGCGAAGCTATATCCATTTGCGCGTGTCAAAAGCTTTTTCGCAATTCAATACTTTTCCTCGACTGAACAACGGAACGAACGATGTATCCATCAGCAATATCACGCAAAAAACGCGCCAATGAAAAGTCAAGACCACAGAGCGTCCTTTGATTACCGTCGCAACGCTTGCGTTTCTTTTTCATGTAATTACGTGGCTCGTGCTACAGGTGATCTATCTTTATGAAGACACCCGCTGCTGCTATTCTTTCGCGCTTCTCTCCGCCTTTGCCATCCTTTCTTTCGCGAAATACGTTTGTTCATTGGCCGGAAATACGTTCCTTTTTCTCTAACAAGTGATAAAAGGTTGTTGAGTGATGATATATATTTAACTCGCGATATTTGCTATAAAGGTTTATAAAGGATATGAAAGGCTTCTCTCTATAAAGTATTTTATAATTCTGTATGAAAATTTCTGAAGCTTTTCCTTCTATAAAAAATTCCGCGTAAGAATATCCGTATAAAGACGGCTTTATAAAAAAATACCGACTGCGCGAAGTTCTAAAATTATAACTCAATAGTGCAAGTTGGCAAAATCTATCTTTGAATTGTTAACAATAGCGACAGTAGATTCAAGTTAGAAGACTTCCTTTAGGAAACAAATTGCGATGGCAAAATCGCTTTCAGTAAGAAGAGGTAGTTAAGACCGTATAACGTTCCGTTATTATTGAGCAAAGAAGGGTGAGAAATGGAGAAGGGTCAGATATGAAGACTAGTCGCGCGCACGTATATATGTGGCTTCTTGTACTTTCGCCCTGCCGAATGCCTCTCACGTACGATGCACGTGTGTGGCTACGTGCGGCTTCATTTGCAGATCAAAAGGAGAAAAACGATTCGGACGCGAGCGAACATCTTGAAAACGGTAGATTGTCCAATATATCGGTGAATGTGATTTTAAATGCCAAATATAAGGCGGGAAGAATCACAATATTATCCATATTATGCAAAGCGTACCCTAAATATTAGCTGTGTTGCTTCCGCACTTTAAACGCGCGACCTTTTAAGTTCCTTCCGCAGGATATCGAGTATTGGACTACTTACAGTTATTAAATTTCCAAAGCTCTTATCCAGACATGCCTCGCGGCAGCATCGAATATGTACTTACGACTAAGCTTAGAATTCTCGATTCCGGGAGGCTTGATGGAAGAGGAAGCGCAACTTCGCTCTTCTCGCAGCAATTCTCGAACTTATACGACGGGAGTTTTGCACGCCGCAAAAGGAGGCGTAGAGGAAGTAAGCCCCGCGTGAAGGGAGCGCGCGCTATCCTAGCGAGCGATACGAAAGTGAGAAAGAGAATATGCACCTCGATGCAATCCCGAGTCTCTAAGACTCGTAATTCTAGTTGCGTTTCTATCAAGGGACTCAACTGAAAACCAGTTTTAAGGCATGCTTCAATGGATGGATCTTGGGAGCCAATTTGATATTCGTGACGAATACAAAGTTGATCTCCATAAATCGGCTACAGAATTTTTAATTTGTTAACAATTTTTTCTGCCATTGGCGAAAATATATTAAATGCAAAATGTGTAAAAGTAATATAATAAGAAACAAAGAAGAGGTTTGTCCTCAAGTTAGCGCTACAAAAATCCATCTATCAAATCCGTCTCAAAATATAAATCTCATTATAAATATTCCATTTGATATACTCTTAAGACGATTTAAGTGGCGAGTATTAGTAGGATCTAAGGTCAGCATTTTAATGTAAAAAGCAAAAGAAAAATCGTTGGCCATTTGTAATTATATTCGGAAGCGAGACTATTGAGAAGCGCGTCTCATTGTTCCTAGAAATCAACACGTTCTCATTAATGGAAAGTTCAGAGCATCATCCACAACGCTTAGAGGAGAGCGTTAAGATCGCGTCTAGCTCTAAAATACAAAAGCGAAGTTATAATATGTCATAATATAGAAGCCGGGCTTCTCGCACGCGCGGTATCTCGCGTCCCCGGGCGATCGTCGTATCGCCTGGAAGCGATGCAAATTGTGCAGCGGGCGTGCAACGTTCTCCGATCTGTAGTTAGCAATTCTCCCATCTCTATTCCCTCTTACGCGCTTACGAAGTTGCGGAGTTTATACAAGGCTCCGAAGGAGGTGGAAGAGGAACGGTTCTCTCGGTCCTCGAGAGGGCTTAACCGGCGGGCAGAGAGCGGCAACTTTCGCGTGCTACATAGTCGTATTACGCGTGCTACACTATCGTTCTCCTCCTCCTTCCCCCCGCCCCCCTCCCCTCAGATGGAATTTCGTCCTCTTCGAAACGCGAAGCGGTCCCCGACAGGAGCGAAATGGAAACACCGAAAAGCAGAGAGCTTCGTGCGTTGTCACTAAAAATCGTCCGCGACTTCAGAAGAAGGTCATTAAGCCAGATGTAAGGCGCGCCATAAAAGAAGAAGCTACTATAAAGGAAATTCTCTCTTTGTTCAATTATTCTCGGTCTTGCGCTTATTCTGGTCTTTACTCGTTATGTGCGACCGTTGGAAATAATGAAATCATTACGTTGCGAATATTTTATAAATGCCCTTCTCTCTCCTGTAGAAATACAGGATTGAGTACACCAGCAATTATATATGCGACATTTGTTGCATCTCTTTAAATTATTTATTATTTAATATTAAATAATTGTAATTGCGATTTAAATTCTTATTCTTCAATTAAATTCTTGTACATAGATATATAAAGAACAAGTTCACTATATTTCTTAAAATCCAATGCAGATCAATCTCGAGATTTTTGAGATATTTTGTAGTTGTAAATATTTTTGAACATTTTCTTCAATCTTTCTTTATAAATATATTAGAAGAGAATTTATTTCTTGCTTGCAGCAACAACAACAACAAGCGCAGCAGCAGGCGCAACAGCAGCAGCAGCAACAACAACAGCAGGTCGGCTCACCGGGAAACGGAAATGTAGGGAAGGGCAGTCCGTCTCCCGGAAATTCATCTTCTCCCGGTACGGTCGCGACTTCCAACAAGCCCCAAACGGAACCGAAACCGGTGGAGTGCAATCTGTGCCATCGAAAATTTAAAAACATACCGGCCCTTAATGGCCATATGCGACTCCACGGTGGTTACTTCAAAAAGGTAAATATTTGATAAGGCTGACGCGTTAAGAAAGCGTTTGTTCACGTATTTATGCGAATAGAGCTAAGAGCTCAACAAGAAACGAACTTGGCGCTCTAAAATATTCTAATACCTTTTTATCTTGTTAGTTATGCCGTTTGCTACATGTATTTTAACAGTTAGCGATTATGAAGCGGAATCAAAAAATATACATAACGGATTTTCAATCCTGCGCAGTACAAAATAATTAAAGTAAATGTATACATGTTAGTTACATTTCCATCCGACATACTAACAATAAGTAAAAAATAAATTTTATATAACGTCCTAGTTGTATTATAAATTTTTCTACATCTTATTTTATGCAAAATGTTCTCTGAGGAAGTCACGATATAGTGTGTGTGTGTGTATATATACATATATATACACTTAAGAAAACTGCCGGATAGCGATTTCATTACAATCATATAAAAAAATGTTGTCTTCAAATTTCACCGCGGGGTGTAATGGACGTAAGATCATACGTTGTAGCTTGGCACTTCCTTTCGGTCGCAGCTATTTCTTCAGGATAAAGGAACTCATCTCGCGGCGGCTGATTTCATTTGCATCCGCCCGACCGCGTCGTCTAAACTTCATTTTCGGCGCGAAAACTTTAATATTCGAGAAAATCTCCGCGCGCGGTTCCGCCAAAGTTATACCGCGCCGACAGTTGCATCACCATATGAATTCGCAATCGCGCGAATTTGCGCGAGCGCGCATTGCATCCGAATAATCAACCGGCGTTTCTATGAAAATCTCATCAAGCCGCCGCCGCCGCCGTCTCGCGGCCTCGAGAAACGCGATACTCGAGAATGCATCCTCAAGGTGATAATCGTCGCGGCGAAGGTGTAAAAAAGAGGCAAAAGAAGTGATGTAAGAGACCGCAGAAATCGCCCCGGAGATCCGCGCGACTTCAGCACACTTTCCCCTCCCTGTGCATCCCTTTTCCCCAATCTCTTCTTCTACTTCCAGA